GTCGAGAAAAGGTTGAAAATCATGTGTTTATCAAAGACAAATAAGGGAACGATAAAATAATCAGATATGCATAACAGCATTGTACATTGTATATATCGAAAATGAAAGTCACCCAGATTATCACGAACTTCCGTCTGCCAAACAAATGCTCCCTTTAAAACAGCGAATCGTTCGATGGCAGGGCATTTCGAATTCTAAAGGAAATTTAACTTGGAGTTTGTAATTAGTCGAGAAAAGGTTGAAAAGTATGTGTTTATCAAAAACAAATAAGGGAACGATAAAATACAAGTCAGGCATGCATTGTGTACTTGGCAGTCGACACACTTTATAAAAAGACATATAAATCGCTTTCATTGATCCAAAACCTTGTCTTTCGGAGACAGTCAAGTTTACTGATCAACTTACCTCATGGTGAAGTAGAATAGTCTTCCTGGAACGTAAGTAAATTACGGAAATTCAAAGTAATTTTCGCACGCTAAGCCGCGTCAGAGAAACCGTGGCACGGCGGAGAGGAAGACGAGGAAGCTATTCGCTATAAATAACACCTTACGTAATGGAAGACTGGGCGGAGTGGTGTAGCGGGAGAAGCGGGGGAGTGGTTCTCAACCATAACGTTAGTCTGTAGGATTGAATAATGGGTAACCTCAGGGTAATCGGCTCCTGGTAACCTGCGATCAGGCGTTTCTTTTTTCTTTTTTTTTTTTTTTTAATAATCTAAGGGTAAATAATGGGTCGCGACTACAGTGGAACCCCCCCTTACGGTCAACTCGTTATTACCCCCCCCCCCCCCCCCCCTTTTTTTTCCCCCCCCGCCAAACCCCCCAACATTTTTCCTGTTAAAAAAACTCTCTCATTAATCATAAATCACGTTAATAGACCTTTTTTTTTTTTCTCTGTTTTCAGCTTTTTTATCGTGGGGTGTGTGTGTGGTTCTGTCTTTCTGTGAACCTGTCGATGTGGGTTTTTTTTTTTCTTTTTTTTTTTTTTTTCAAACTCCGGGGGGAAAAGGGGGGGGGGCTCCCGGGGGCCCCCCCCTGTGGGGCAACGCGGTATTACGCCCCCCCCCCCCCCTTTTCTTTTTGCCGCCTGGCAAAACGGCCATACATTTTTCCTGTAAAAAAACTCCTCGTTAATACAGTAACACGTTAATACGGTCATCTTTTTTTTACCCATTGGTGACAGTATTACCGGGGTTCCACTGTTTATAACTATTGAGGTTTTGTGTGATAAAGGTGGGTTACACTGCATTTTGAAGCTGTCTTTTCTATTGTCTGGTCTATCCTTTCCTTACCTTTCTTTCAGAAATTAGATAGCGCCATTGAAAAGAATCGCAGCTCTCAATGCAGGACGCATGCTTTTGCGGCCCAGCCTACTCCCTCATAAGCCATGTAAGATGTGCCTCACGGTATGGTTTTTGCGTCGTTTCGGTCTGAAAACGGGTATAGACTTTGCCCATTTTGGTTTGGAATCGAGTATGGTTTTCGAGGTCGGTATGAACGTATTCTCCGTTTCAATTTTAAGAGTAATATGCGAATTTGAAATGGACTTGTTTTTTTTGGCGTTCTAATCTAACAAGTAATGATGACGTAATTTTTGGCTATGTGTGTCTGAACACGGGTACAGATTTTAGAGGCCAGGGGCCCGTTTTTCGTAAGGCACGGAAACTTTTCGGGCCCAAAGAAAAATTTAAAATCTAAAAACTGCTGAATACTAGCACGATTCCTAGTCTCATTCTATTATTTTCAAAATTGTTAAAACTTTGGCCTTGAATGTAAACGCGGCAAACAGCTTTCCGGGCTCGAAGAGTTGCCGAGACTTCCGAAAAACAGGCCCCCGCTGTGAGAACGGGTGTGGAAAATGACCTTTTTTGGTCTGAAATAGGGTGAGGATTTGGGGAACCAGGCGGCACACCCCTACGAAGAATTCACGGGAGTACACCTCCGCCCCGGGTTTTGCGACATATATCCAGCGGTTTCTACAATTTGTCACGCTACAGCCTCGTTTCCACGACTTTGTAGTGACGTCACGTACATGTTGTCACGCTGACTTTCTCTGTGCAAGTCGCCTCCAGGACAACAAATGAGCAGCAAAATTATTTTTACGATTTTTACCTTCACAAGTGCATCGGCCTTACATTATATCGTCTCACTGATTTTTTCTGTGGTAGTGTGTAGTTCTGGCTGTTTCCAGGGACCTCCTCTGCCTAACAAACCATTTATAACGGTATGGAACGCACCTACGGATCGATGTGAACCAGAGTGGAACGTCTCTTTAGATCTGAGTGCTTTTGACATCGTGGTGAACAAAGACCAGAAGTGGTGTGGAGAATACATCGTTATATTCTACGACACACAACTTGGATTGTATCCGTATTTGGACAGCAATGGAAAAGCTTTCAACGGTGGTCTACCTCAGGTAGTGGACTTGTTATTGTAGTAGAGTAACTCTAGGGTGTAGCTAGGGTGTAGGGTTGTTTTTTTGGCTTGCAACTACGTGACAACGTGACAACGGAAAATTTGAGAAAAAAAAAAAGAAAGAAATGAAAGGTTAAGATACAAGCGGTGGGAAACGTTTTTGTTATTCGTCGACCAACATAGCAGTCATGAAGTCAGCTGCAAATCTGCAGCAGCTAAAATTGACAATTCATTAATTTCACTAAAAGAAGAAGGCGAGGTTACTACGCACTAAGCTTTTCCCTTTGCAGCTCTACCACCTGGTTAGCTTAGTTGGGAGAGTAGCCTGCAGCTAGTGCAGGCATATTTTGGAACGGCAAAAGCTACTTGTTTTATGTTCTTATTGTTGTAGCCACAATCTTTGATTTTATGACAGAGGAAGATTGGGGAGAGCAGAAAAAGTATCCTTAGGGTAGGTGCTATCGAACCTCTGGGAGCAAAAACATTTGCGCATGCAAAGAAAATGCCTTCACTACAGGCTATTGGGAGAGCATTAGTCTGCCAATCGAGAGGTCGCGGGTTTAAACCACTCAGGGTCTTTAAATAACTGAGAAGAAAGTGCTGCCCTTGTAATGACATCTGCAAACTGTTAAACTTTCTTCAGATTAGGACGAAAAACCATAGGTCCAGTCTCAAGGCACTTTCATTTATCTGGTTCGTGTGGGATGTAAAAGAACCCACACCACTGTTTGAAAAGAGTGAGGGGACATAGACTCTGGGGGGGGGTGACTAACCTTACCTGGACTAGGTAGGTTATCTGTAAGGAGAGATCTTAATATAGCAATTCCTCCTTTAGGAGTCGCAATGGCTATGGCTAGTGTAACTGTATGTATGTGCCAACTTTAAGGTACACAATGGCCATATTTTTTTTCTTTTTATGTGATAGCTTGAAAATCTTACAGCACACTTAATAAAAGTACAGCAAGATGTAGCAAATGTCATTCCTGATAATGAATTTCAAGGTATTGGTGTGATTGACTGGGAATTCTGGAGACCTGTGTTTGACAGAAACTGGGATGAACTCTCCATCTATGGGTCTGTCAGAATTTTGTTTTGTCTTTAATAATTGAACACTTTGATTGTTGAGCCTCTGTATTGGATATTTCCAAAGTAATCGAAGTTGCGACAATTGCTGTTGATGAAGCAAAGATCTTAGGGATTAAAGCACCGATCACATTGCTATTCCAATCAAGACTGGTAAAAAATCTGCCCAAAAATATTATTGTGCTGCACGATCAGAGTTTTTGCTTTGTTTACTAAAACTGTTGCTTTCTTGATTTTGTCGTTTCCATCGTTGTTGTGGTTGCACTATAAAAGCTCACCAGTAGCATTACCATGCAAAATATATTATTGATATTATCAAATATTTCACCTGAAAAACTGTTAATATAATGGAAAGCACGTGACAAAATTGGCATCCGCAGGTACCCATTTTCAGGGGCTCATTAAGGGTATTCTACATGTCTAATATTAATCTAAGATAGACTTGGTTGTGTTTCTCTTCAGTCAAGAATTTCAATAATAATATGGCAATTTGTCCAATTCACGTTTGCCAGTTTGTTTTCACAAAATCAGAGAAGATGAAGATTAATTTGAATTTTTGGTGTTGTTGAGATCTTGTTACTGCAACACCTAATTCCAGCTCCTTGCCTGAGACCAACTTGCAAGCCTTAAATGAATAATTTATAGAACTTTATGAAAGATTGATTGATTGAATGAATGATTTATTTATTTATCTAAAATCAGAATCAATCATTCAAAATCAAACTCATTCATACAATCAATCGATTTAATGGAATGAATTAATGAATGAATGAAAAGAAAGAAAATAATTATTTAACGAACAAATTTGTCCTTGTTAATTCTGGAGTTGGGTATCAGCATGTAGGCACTAGCACTTAAAGTGCCCATCACCTAAAATTTTTTATTTTCTTATCTGAAACTCGGTACCTTATTAAAATAACTTCTGCGAAAAAATTTTGCTATTTGAACAAAACCCGATTTTTTTACAATTTTTTGAAAACGTTCAAATTAGCCGCCATTTTACACACCATTCATCTCAGTCTTCTCTCGGAGTATGACGTACTTTAAGGAACACGTGACCTTATCGACAGGAAAACATTAAGAGTTCTGATAGGTTTTTCTTTTTCAGAAAAACTTTCTTCTTACGAAGACATTGTGTTTCAATCCTTACTTGAAATTTATCTTTTTTGTGTACAGCTGGTGAAGGCAAGGTAATGCGAGTTCCTTAATTTACGTCACATGACGTCATATGTGAGCTTGCTAATTTGCATGATCAGCGGCGCGAGTGTACCGCAAAAATGTAGACTTCAAAAAATTGTAAAAAAATCGGCTTTTGTTCAAATCGCAAATTTTTTTCGCAGAAGTTATTTCAATAAGGTATAGTTTCAGATAAGGAAATAAAAAATTTTAGGTGATGGGCACTATAAGTGAAGTAAACTTCGCCAAAAGTCCTTGTGGGGATTTTATGGATTTCCAAATTGTTACTTAACAATGAAAAAGATGCTGAAAATTGCAAACAAGTGACAATGAAGTACAATGACCAAATTTCTTGGTTGTTTGAGTGGAGTTCAGTGCTGTTTCCATCAATATATCTTCATGACAAGGCAAAACTGAATGGCACATTGTTTGTCAAGTGCAGGCTTCTGGAAGGCTTTAGATTCGCTTAGAAGTTGGATGGAAGTCCCATTCCTGTGTTCCCATATGTTCGAATAACATATGCAGTATCTCAGGTCTACCTCAATGTGGTAAGTCAATTAATATTTATCCTCAGCAGTATCTAGTGAGGTTACGTAAATGCCTTCGGGAAACAAATAATTTAAATCAAACATAATGGTGTTAAGACCCCAACTGGCCTAAGGCAAACCAGCTGGCTACATTGTGTTTACAAGAATGGTCGAGGATTTGAACTCAGGACAACCAACAGGTGCAAATCCACACCAGTTTTCACAGTTCTATGGAAATCGGTCAGATTTTTCATAACAAATATATTTTTAATAATTAAATAATAGAACTTTTCAAGTTGAAATCTGGAAAATGGTCTGGACAAATGTTCTCTTTTTCCAATTTCTGAGCATTAGATGCTCCCTCAATAAATCAGAAACCCGGGAAAGGGAACTTATTCCACACAAAATTCCTGGTGCTATATTCCCCCAGCCTCCCCTAGAAGCTTGCTTCCTCGGCCCCTCATTAATAGGAAATCGGCCAGTATTTATCCTAGATCCGTGCCTGACCAATTAGGAACAAATTTAGCTAGTGGTCTTGGAGGGACTTGAACTTGGGGCCTCCGAATTACAAGTCCAGCAATTTAATATCATGCTGCCTCCCAATTAATTTGGAAGAAGGAGAAATTTTACACCAGAAAGCGCTCAAAAAAATCCAAAGCCTTCAGGTGAAAATTAGACCGCAAGCAGTTGTCCTTCTTTCCTCAGAGCCACCCGCGGTGAACAAAAAGGTAAACTAATTCCCTCACATTCTACCATGTCTCAAAAGAAAAATATTAAGAGACTGCTCGTAGTTTACATAAACTAAAGGTGAAAATTGAATGCATGACCCTCCCCTCCAAGCTCTAAATTGGAGGCTTTAGCTACTAGCTGAGTTATGTAATATACTGGAGTCTCTATAGTGAGCAGGGTTGGAATTTTTTAATTTTGATAATTAGAATTATAATTAATTGATTTTTATAATTGAAAATTAACTATAACTTCACTAGTCATAAAGGTACATGATTATTACAGACTGAAGAAAAAGCCAAAATTCTTTCTGCAGCAAGAAGTCAAGAAAATCCTGTGTTGTGATTGGCAACCTGAGCAGGGAGGATGGGCCTATCTTGCCTGCTTAGGATTTCCTGCGTGGGTACCTAAGATTAAAACCATAATTGTGATAAGTTCTCTTTAATAATTTTTGTAAAATTTATCAGGGCTTGTTTGGTCAAGATGGGTAGATGTTGGCTTCAATTTTTTTTCTTTGCATGCTTGTTTTTATTGGCCTTGATGACATGATAGAAAAAAAATTGGCCTGTATCCAAGCCTTGGCCAATATTGCATAATTATGTACATGAGCCAGTATTGCTTCTTGCTGAAGTCCATTTATTTTTGAAAATGCGTGTACTGTATAAAATAATGTTAATAAATGTTCAAGGCTCAAGGATCAACGTAGAAAGTTGCTGCACTACATTGTCTTGTGGACAAGCAGTTTTTTCCCATACAAACCCTTACAATCTTAGTTTTTTGTGCAAATCACCTAGTCAAAATTGGCTTTCCAGCGCCATAATATTAATTTATTTTCGCATGACATTGTCTGTGAGTTGCAAACGGCCTACTCCTAGCAGCCACATTGGTTGCTCCACCTCCCGCCTCCTTCCAAAACACACCCTCTCCACCACTTTCAAGGTATAGCATTGTTATTGTTGTTATCTAATTGACAGGCTGATATAATGTCAACAATACTACAATCTGCAGAACAAGGAACAGCTGGGGTTGTAATGTGGGGAAACCACCATTCTGAGGCCACCAAAACTGACTGCATTGAAATAAAGAACTACATTGACAATTTTCTGGGACCTCTTGTTAAAAGCATCACCGCCATAGCGCAGAATTGCAGTCAGGAGTTTTGCAATTTACATGGAAGGTGCAAATTTCAGTTAAATCCTGATTTATATTTCAAAGCGCCAAGTCTTGAGGTTAACCTAGATTTTTTGTGTGATCAATGGAAATTTTTGAGCTGTCGTTGCTATAGTGAATGGAGTGGAGAAGACTGCAGGCACCACCTTTAAGAGTAAACAAATACCAAATTAATTATGAAATTAATAAAATCTGCTTACAACAGAGAGGTATAATATTTTTGGTGGTTCATTTTTATCCTGGGTTGAAAAATTAATTTTCGTTTGTAACTACAAGTGGTGTTACAGTTTATGTTGGGATCCCTCCCCCCTCCCTTTCCCCCCCCCCCGTTGTAGCAGTGGTACATCTGGGGGAAATTAGAAATTACCGACAAGGGGGCCACCTTCCCTCAGCCTTATTTTTTGAGCAAAACAATTCTTTCAATGAATAACATTTTTCTAATTCAGATTAACTATTTCTAACATTTTACGTTTGGAATGACCGTTCATTCCACTTCGATAAAAAATGCTGAGGGAAACCAGCATTTTTAACGCCCACATTTAATCTTGAATTATTCAAAACTTTAATTTTAAACTTCGCATACATTCATTCCAAACAAGTAGAAATTTAGGTATGTTCATCCTCTTTCAGAAATGCCAATTTGTCTATCGAAACAAAGTAATTTCGCCACCAATTCGCCAATTTCCTTCATTTTCAATGTTTGGTCACGTGACCATAATTAAACGTCAAGGCACAAGAAAACCTCAAGATTTACTTTTGGGGAAAAGTTCAATTTGTTCTAGGTCTCCTAGCGGGAAATATAAATATGCATATGCTCAGAACACATCTTTGACCCAGGCCTTAAGCCCCTTGAGCACGCAATTATTTTGATATGATGTACACGTGTGCATTGAATATTGTTAAATGCCATGGAATACAAGCCTGGGGAGTGAAGTGTGAAAAATTAAACTCTAGAAAATCGAAGGGAATTTGTTAGGAAAGCTTAGAAAATTGTACACGAATGGAGCAGTCACCTAGAAATTTTTAGCCTTCCTCAAGTAATCGAAAACTTTAGGCAATATTTGCTTCTCCGAACAGAAACTTTACAGAAAACAGTCGTTGGGTGACCCTGATAGCTTTATCAGATTAACTACCAGCCATATGTAAACTAAATAGAAAACACAGTGGCATGAACAGTAGCATAGTAGCATAGTAGCAGATCGAATATTCTTTCCTTGGCCTACGTCGTTCCGTATATTTTATAGAATTATACATGCTGACATTGATACTTAGCTTTAACAGACTTTATTTTAAGGTGACTGAACATTGATAATTCCATGATTTTCTCACCTTTAGTATCAAAAGCAGTTGAATACTCAGGACATGCTGCCACGCAATGAAAACCACCAAGATAGATAGACAGATAGATAGATAGTTTATTAAAACTGCATCGCAGCCAAAGGCTGAATTACGCAATTATTTACAAAAACTTTACAATACTTAAAAATTACAAATGAATCCTAGATAATAAGTCAAAAATTGATTTTTAAGATAATATTAAAAATTGTATATAATACATTCATATTAACATATGTTAAAATATAAAACTTGAATATAAGTGGGATAAAACTACAGCCCGGACTGTTTCGACATCGCATATATAAAAGTATTACTTGTTCTGTTCGTACAAAGCTTTGGCATATTAAAATGGCGCTGTCGTCTTAGGTTATAGCGTGAGTTTTGAATATAAGTGGGATAAAACTACAGCCCGGACTGTTTCGACATCGCATATATAAAAGTATTACTTGTTCTGTTCGTACAAAGCTTTGGCATATTAAAATGGCGCTGTCGTCTTAGGTTATAGCGTGAGTTGTCATAGTCTGGTGGAAGGAGCGCCTTCAATTTATGGTTGGGATCACTGACAATGTTATCAAAAAGCCTGCTACATAATACGTAATAATGCTCCAAACTGGGTGTTAACCCCACCTCTATTGCCGAGTTGCACTTTTCCTGAGGTTATTATTGATACAGCTCTTTTCTCGAGCCGTACCAGCTCTTTCTTTAAGTACTGGTGGAAACCGTTGAAAAATACAGGTGCTGCATAATCAATAACAGATCTCACGCACGATACGTAGAACAGTGCTAGATCTTGTTTTGGGACTCCCGCTCTCTTTAACTGGGTTAGGAAATGGAGTCTCTTGCTAGCCTTTTTGGTTATTTCAGTTACATGGTTGTTCCATGTTAGATCGTTCGCTTTTGTAAGGCCTAGTAGCTTTGTACTAGATTTTGTTTTCTGATTAGCTATTCTTTTCAACCGTGCATCTTTAATTTCGCATGCATATCATTCTACTATACTGATTAAGCTACACGCAAAACATACTAAACCGAAGAGGTGACCTTGTGAATAGTGGCTGTTCCAGTAAGAGCTGTGATATCTTTAATAGTTAGTATTCGGCAGTTAATGTCTGAAAATTATATAGTATCGATCCAGGGTGTTGTGAGGGTAAATAAAACGGTGTGTTTCAACGAATGGAAAGGAAAATGGATTGTTTTGTCTCTTTGAAAAGATTTTTAACTCAAAGGCCTCCGGGAAAAATATTTCAAATCAGTTGTTTTGGAAGAGATGCCTAAAACGGAGCTGTATAAATGCACTAATCCCGGAACTCAAGATCAGATTCGTTCTCAGTGTATTCTGTTCTCTGAACTCCTTCTTTTAACGTTTTATGATGTATCAAGGTTTAACAGCTTCAACATTTATGGAATTTAGATCACGGACTTTGATACACAGTATACAGTAAAATCCATCTATTTCCGAGTCGATCGCACTGCCAATTGAGCATGATCGTGCGTGAATGAACGGCACCATACCGAATCGATCGTCGTTTTTCGATGGTAAGGGTTCGAGACTGAATTCAACATTTATTT